AACAGAGCTCGCTCAGTGGCTTTACGTACTGACGTTACTTTTACGTTAGCCTACTGACTATTCATTTTTTTGTTTTATTCCTGTTATCTCCAAGGTAGATAATCGACCATGTAAAATGTAAACAATGAAATAGGAGCGTTTTGAAAATGACGTGCATAAACTTTCCGCATAGACTGTGCTCGACTTCATGAAATTAGATATAACAAAAACAAACATCAAATACAATAATTACTCAGGCTTACCATTCGAGATTCAGTTCCTGAAAGCTATTAAGAAAGGCCACAGTTGTTTGAGACTTTTAAACCCTCTTACGCATTAAGCAAGGCGAAAAGCGAAAACGCTGCCATCCGTAATCGGATTACCGTATTTTGATAAGCGACGCATTTCTCAACCAAAAACCCAATAAACAAACCAGCCATGAATAACCGTGAGAATACCCTTGATAGCAGCTGTATTTCATTTTGTACATCCAGTGGAAAAAGACAGTTAAAAACATCACAAGTTGAGACAAAACTCTGCCCGCTTCAGCTGTCAAAGTAAACAACTTTCAAGATGCTACATAAAATTTCGCGCATGAATGACCTGCGAACAGAGTCTCCTTCGATCTTCCTAAATAAGTCGGAAAGAGGAAGGAACCTCTGCCGACATTCTTGACAATTTATATTGAGCATGCTCCAAATTCAAATTTTTCTGCGACGTCAATCAAACCGTTACCGTAGCATCCACTGCGTTTGTTAGCAAATGTAAAAGTTAGCGGAAACGTACCGGTTCGTTTTCACCCTTCCGTAGTTGTGTTTCCTCTGGATTTGGAAGCTCTGTAGGAACAATTTCACCTTTGGAATCATAACTTACCATGTTTCAGTGTAAAGAAGTTAAAAAAGTCTTAGAGCTAGGGAAAAACTTATGGTGCTTTTCAAAGACAAAAAAACTAACCTTGAAATACAGAATAACACAAGGGATCGAAATCCACCAGTCACATATCACAAACTACGACCTTTTGTTTTCTAAGAGGTTCGCTAAGATGTAATGGCGAGAAAGCGAAGAAAGCGACTCTTCTTCAGATTTTGATTGACGTCGTAGAAAAACACAAAATCCAAATTTTTGGCATAGCAGGTCGGGTGTTATCCACAAACAGCTGTAAAAGCATCGATCATTTAAATCCAACATGGATTCTGTAGCCTCATGATCTTATTTTGAATTAATTTTACTGAAAACACGAAAGAATAAGCATATATATTGTTTCTTAAATATTTTTATTAAAAACCGCTTTGTTTATCCTTCCAAGAACTTCGCGTAATGCATCAGTCAACTCCACCTGCGCCCAGCCCCCGCCCCCCAACCCCCCGGGTAACTGCGGGACATTTGCCCGCCTTGTCAGTCCCGGGGATGGGGCATTTGCAAATTTTGCACTGTCCGGGGGCCGGGCATTTGCCAGTCCCCGGGCTATTCCCGAGCTTTTGACACACACGCGGTTTCCTATCAGAATATAACTACACAGAAGGTTTAACTGGAAAAAAGCAGATTGGCTCATCTGTCAAGGACAGGAATAAATTGTAGAGGGTTGTAAAGGCATGTTCTCGATTTTACATGCATGTATGCATTTCTTCATTGCGTATGAAGCCAGAATTACGTAGCGAAATTGCAGCTATCGATGTGAATCAAAGTTTTTTGGTCATTGAATCAAATTTCTGTTGATATTATTTGGAGAACATCCTTTCATATTTATAAAACTATTTATAACATATAACTTTACAGCGCTCTAATAATTTTAATGTCAATAATTTTATATCAATACTAAAACCATAATCGCGGCGTGAAGTCTTAATTAGAATCCTCGCGCTATTACAAACGGAAGACGTTAATTGAAACAAAAAATCGCACATTAAAATGCTTAAAATGGCACTATTTGACTTTGCGATCAATGAAAAAATGTTGCAGTGTTGACGGAGGACGAGGCATTTGCCCTCTTTTTCGTCCCCACCTCAGGGGATTTGACAGCTCAAGGGTCCCCATCCCAAGGAATTTGCCATCGAAGGCAAAAAAAATGCTAATGCCCGGGGTTCAGCCCGGAGGGGGGCTGGGCGCAGGTGGAATTCACTGATGCATAACACTAACTGGATTGTGGATCCGTTTACGCAAGTAAAATCGGCTAAGTACATGGTTAAACCCAAAACAAAATCCATCTCGAATCTGGGTGCATTTTCCAATTGTTCTAAAACTGAACGTTCAATCTATAATTTTCTCAAAATTCCTGCATGAAACTGATTGAACCGGCAGCTATTTGTTTTGTTATGGAGCGTGGGCGCAGAAAGAGTCAGCAAAACTCCAGAATATGCGTGCGTGCACAGATAAAACTGGTTTATCCAGTATAAAACTTGTCTGTCTCATCCAAAAAGCTGGATGATCGGCAGATCAAACGATTTAGGAGATATCGGCAGAGTCGCTTCCCCTTTCCCAACTTATCTAGGAAAGATCGAAGTGACTCTGCCAGCAGGGTACCGCATGAACACACCTGTCAAATTTTGACCAATCAGAACATAAAGATTGGACGTACAGCGTGACTAACGTGTGACCATGGTAAGAAAAGGTCTTCCCCGCCTGTATTTTTAAAACACTGGCCCAATTTTCTAGTCCGAGGTCAGTTTGAAATCAAAATCTTAATAGTGCGGGGCCATAGTGACATAACACAACATAAAGTCCAAACACGCCTGATCAAAGTGCGTTCTTTGCATTCTATACATTCTTAGTGGAAGTCCAAACGAATGCTGGCTACATACACGCGACGTATGCGTAATAACAACCTGGAGATTAGGATTGTGGGCTCCTCTTGTCACCCGCAATAAAAATAGAACGCTGGTTCAAGTGAACAGCAGATCATTGTTTTTGTGTCATATTTGGTAATGTTCTGTAATCCAGGAAAAATTAAGGACAATACATTTTGGTAAAATGAGCTGTGTATGTATCTGAACTGTTGGGAGAGCGCCAGTCTATGCGAGCGGGAGGTCGCGGGTTCAAACTCCGCCACCCCACCCACTTGAGTGAATAAATTCCAATAAGAGACTTCCCCGAGGACAGAGTTTTCTTCAGAGTATTTTACAGAAACCTTGCTTTGTTACTTCTTCGCGTTTTGTTATTAGCATTAATTTATTGTTTTGTTGCAAAATAAACATACTTCGCTAGCTGAAAATGGTGAAAATTCAATAAGCGCCCAGCCTCGAATAAGCGCCCACACCCAAGGTCCAAAAATTTAATAAGCGCCCAGGGCGGTTAATCGAATAAATACGGTAGCTGCTCAAAACGCTAAAAAGGTATACATAACAAAGCAATACAAAATAAGATTATCTTGAAGAAGATTTAAACAGATTGCAATTGTGGTTTGAAAACTTGTTAGCCTAACAGATTTTGTTGCTCGTAACGTTAATGCTTTACAATGACAGTTGCTGGTTTTCACATGATTTCATCAAAATTCATACTACAAAATTATCGATCTTCCTCGGGCGCTGATCTAGCATAAATATTGACCGATTTCCTAGACGAGCACCAAAGCCGCAAGCCTCTAGAGAGATCCGGGTGCATGCTATCCCGGGAAATTCTTAAGACTTAAAAGAGCTCGGTGCTTGAACTCTTTATTTCGGAAGTGGGGAAACTTAGCTCACAAGGAAACTCTGTTGCAGGGAAGAACTAGTCTCTGTAGCGCCGGATCAAAAAACCACTTGGTAATAAGCAACAGTAAATAACGGAATCTGAACTTGGTTCCAACATGAAGATTTCATTCACGCACACGTAATCTTAAATACAATCGCAGCCGATAAAAGCGACAAACAGTACAGACTAGCTAGCTCACATATGATCTTTATAATCATTGAAGAAAAGAGGAAAGTAGAAATGCCAAGATGTACAGAAAGTTACCGGTGAATACATTGATATATTTCTTTACTTTGAAGTGTACTTGTTAGTGCGGCTATTAGTACTGAAACAATAACCTTGCCAAGCCACTAGGCAGCTTTTTGGTAAATACTGCAATGCAATATAAGAAAAATTGAAAGTTCATCTAGCGGCTGTCGGAGTACTTAGTAGCGTTGTGTAATTTCTAGTTTTCAACATAAAAAAAAACGAACGATTTTTTTGGATTTGCAAATCAGAAAATTGTACTTGTACATTCTTATTGTATAGTTATGTCACCTGTTTTTAGTACTCAGCCTGAATTCAGCGGCTGAAAACGTTGTGTTCCTTAATTCCTAACTGATTCGTTGCCATTTAAAAACGATCACCAGGTACACCTCATGGATAGCCTTTTTTTAGCCCAATGACGTACACGCGGCTGTGAAATAAACCAATCATAAAATATATATGTATAACTATCTACCAAGTTAAATAACTATTAGTCAAAAAGCCAATGTTTTTTAATGAAATAATTGACAAATCAACAGTAACTTCTTAAAACTCCACCATTCTTCATTAACGATACCAAAAATCATAGAAAATAGATAAATTCCAGGTCAATATACCATCGATCAACCTCGTTTTCCAAGCAAATAAACATATAACGTCGAATCCATGGTATATTGCTCTCATCTTCCAAATATGTTAAGCGCCAGTTGGTATGAAGAATTAGCCACGAGATTTTAGCTAGTCAGAAACGGCGAAATATTTTGAATGAACAATAAAACAATTCGGAGGTGGAATAATGGACTAACGACAATTTTGGAGTTGGGATAATTGAATGATGCCATTCTTAGGGTACCGTAAAATGGGATGAAGAAAATTTTCCAGACGGAATAATTGAATAATGAACAGCCTATTATATTCCTGTGTATTCCCCGATACCAAATTAATTATTTACAAAAAGCTAGATATTAGCTGGTCACATACACCACAAGCCAAAACCCGGCCGCATTGTGGTGGTACAAGTTCCGTCGAATGTGAGTTTCCATGATTGCAGTTTCATTTGACTGACTACAATTGTCGAAATCTTGTTCTCGGTCTGCTTTCCTTAAGCCACTCAGGTTGCTCCTAGAATCTGCAGGGCACGATCTCTTGGCCAGGTACCTCAGCACAAGATGACGAATCACCTCTCGTCGCTGAGAAATAAAAAAGTAAATTCATTCGGCCATGAAACATCTAATTAAAGCAAGCGACTGAACCAGAAAACCATGCATAGTCTCCAGTATTTACAGAATCAGTGGATAGCAACTTTCGCACGTTCCGATTGGCTCTCGTAACTTGCAATACTCCTTTAGCAGTCCGGAATATCCCTAAATTTAAGGACAGGGCCAACTGGTCATGCGACACTTTTCAACCAATGAGAAGGCGTGCTTGTGTTTATCAACAAACAAATCAAAACATCGCCCCAGTGCTCAAAAATTTTCAAAACAACGGACGGAGTCGACGGACAGAATTAAAGATGAGCTTACAGTACTCGTGTAGGTTTCACATTTAATATTTCAAAGAAAACATTTCATGTAAGAGAATAAGAGCATTATTCATTGCAAGGAATCATTGGGGTGTTTGAACTGAAACCGGACTGAGCGCAGAGGTCGTGGCTTCACTGGCATGGCTTGCAAGATTTTTGATAGAAGCAAACTGGTCCCGTGTAAAAATAGCCTTACAGAGAGTGTGAAAATTTGTTGAGATCATACAAAACAGGATCGGTACTACCTATTAGCTTCTACAGGACAAGAATCAAAGAACCAGTCATCATAACAAGAATAAAAAGTAGTTCAAATTTATTAATTTTTCTTGTTTGTTTTCTGGTGTTGTTTCGTGTTGACTTCACGCATCTGGTGCTTTCCTTGCTTGCTGTATAGTGCCTGCAATGTTTTAATTTTATCCCAGATTTAGTGCATGTTCAATGAGTTGCGAAATACATCATTTACACTTGAAATTTGCCTTCTTTCTTTGATTGTTTGTTAACGGTGGATGAACATTTGGAGAATCCAGCGACATTAAAACTTTCCAGATTTGGTGAATTTCAGAAACAAAGCGGTTAGTATCTACCTTGCGCTTATCATCTTCAATTTCATCCCCGCAAATTCGGCAAAGTGAGGCGTGATGTATGACGTGAATATTCATAAGACTAATAAAGTTGTTTTGGCCTTGAAAAGAAAAAAGGCAAAGGCTCGCACTAATGCGAAAAAAAGTAATAACACGGCTCTGTGAGAAACCCGGGAGTGGAAAACGTACGTGTTTTGGACCTCGGAATTCATTTTGGTCTACCAAAATTCTAGGTTGTCTACCATCCCCACATTCAACATGATAAAAGTTAATCGATATGACAATCGTGGAAAAATGTCTAGAACTTCGTAAAAAAAATCTGTGAATCGAAAAAATAACAGATACTTGTTCTAGAACTTCGTAAAAAAATCTGTGAATCGAAAAAATAACAGATACTTGTTCACCTACCTTGAAAACCGACCAAAACCTCGCCCATATATCGCGTTGGTTAAAGAAGAAATAAGCCACAAAATGTGCTGAATATTTCACGAGACACTTCCAATATGGCTTGCGATACGCTGTCCACTTAAAAAAATTGTGTATGCCTCATGAAAAGTCTTAAAAATATGCCTGAGAGCCTCGAAACGATGACTGATTCTGACCAACTCCGTCCGCTGTTTTGATCACTGCGGCGATGTTTTGATTTGTTTGTTGATAAACACAAAAGCGCCTTCTCATTGGTTGAAAAGTGACGCGTGACCAGTTGGCCCTGTCCTTAAATTTAGGGATATTCCGGACTGTTTAGTGTTAATGTAAGGAACGAGGACATTCTAAAATTAGTTTTAGTATTTGGGGGGGGGGGGGTATTTTTATTAGTTGGTTATAGTTTTTAAGTAGACGGTGTATTTTATTAAGGATATCTCTTTTACTTGCAATATCCTTTCACAGTTGTGGGACGAGACATGGCGACATGGCGGCCTCTGTCGGGACAGTTTCGTAATACAATGTACCCTTTTTAGGTGACAAATGAAGCAGTTGTACCGAAAAATATCAAGAAAGTGACGAAATTTGCCTTGTCTGAACTACTATGTAGAAAATTATCTTCTTACTGAATTTTACCTGCTGTTCATCAATCCTGCCACATTTCGTGTTAATTTCTGGGCCACAGATTTTGAAAAGTCGTCTAATGACCCAGCACATTGGAAGCACCACATACAAGATGCTTAATGGAGGCGGAAGAACGCTTTTCTTGTAAAACCAATTTAACCACATTTTTGCCCTTGCAAATTTCCATTCCGTATCCAAGTTTTCCTGAAAAGCATTGAAAAGTCATTCTACTTAGCCAAGTATCTCAAGAAACGTAAAGGTTTTGTTTAGACCACTATCCTCAACTTCCTGCCGAGTAGTGAGCGCTTGGACTCGAAATTCAGCGGTCCCGAATTCGATTCCGGTCTGGCCACTTGCTGGATCTGTACTCGGTGGCCCCGAGTTCAAATTCTTGGCTAACAGTTTATTAAAACTCTCTTGCAGAAAAAAACTGTATTAACGAGTTAGATTACATTGTACTACAATAACAATTAATCATACTAGTCAAAGTATCAAAATGTAAAAAGTTCTCTGGCCTCTTTGTCCTACAGGTAATGGACTCATTAAACAAATAGATTTCGCCTGCGTTTTTCCTTAGATTGTACTCGAGCTGATTAATGAGTGGCCTTGGCAATAGGAATTTTAGAAAGTGTAAAGGAAGGAGGTTGGGTTTTTTAATCCAACTTTTGTCTTTTGGATCATTTGTCTCTTATTATTTAAGTGGAGTGCCTGTAAACTAGCTGGATAAGCTAAGAGCACTTTCCAGTATAAACAAGCCTTTAACTTTTTCTTTTTCTACCTGTTATAGATGAGGTTTCCCGCAAATATCACCATTAATTGTAGGTCCCAATTTAGGACTCATTTATGTCAACTAGCCCACTGTAAAAGCGCTTTATAAAAGCGTGTTTAATTTACTTCAAATCCAGAACTAGAATCGGCAAAGCTTATATTATTGTCAATGTTAACATGCTAATTTAAATACGCCCGACTTTACGTAGACTTTCAAAAAAGTCCTTCGTCCGATTTTATAAGGGAGTTTAAGATACGGCGACTACGGACTACGACTACGGTTAAACATGCTACTGCACATGATCAAAACCACGTGACTGTTCATTTTTCCCGAGTAGTCCTGCGGCTACGGTGAGTTGTTGAGCTGTTTCGCGTAGTCGGGACTACGGAGAACATTTTTCGCGTATTTTTCCGCCTCAGTAATTCAAGAATCTCGTCTTTTCGTAAAAAGTTTTCAATTCACCTGCTTTAAGTGAGAGGGAAGCGAAATATGTAAGTTGTGTCTAATTTCTGCTCAGATTTACGCTTTTAATCCACTGTTGTGACTACATTTTTATCTAGCTAAGCTCATATTTAAATAAGCTTAGCTGTTTATACGCAGAATTCAGATTGACGGCCGAGGAGAAGAGAAATCATGCAGGTAATTTACTTTCTCTTCGCACTTGAAAAGTTTCAATGTTTGTTCGAACTGATTAGTGTGTCTTTCTAGGGCCCGTTTACATGGAGTGGGGGACCCCTGTCTAGTGGGGTTGGTTTCTTTTGTTTTCACGCTGTGGGGGACACAAAACAAAAGAAACCAACCCCACTAGACCGGGGTCCCCCACTCCATGTAAACAGGGTCTAAAACTCCCTAATATGGCGCGGACGAAGGACATTTCATACTTGATTGGCGCCAGTTTTAGCGATCCAAATACGGGTCGCTGCCCTTAGACCAATCACAATGACTCTTTAGGACCCTGGGGGATAAAGTTGTCACTCACAAGCAATTAAGCGCATTAAAACGTGACTTGTCCATTGGGAAAGCAGATGCTATGGCGAAGGATAATCACCAAACAATCGAAGCATATATTTTTGTGTCGGGGAGAGATGTTTTTGTGACTGCTCAAACGGGAGCTGGGAAAAGTCTCACTTTTGAACCGGCTTCATCACTTTCGACTGCAATGACATCGCCTGTTCTGCTGATTTCTCATAGATCAGGTCTCAAAATTCAATTCCAATTCCCGTTGCATCGGAGATGATTGCTAAGAACAGCTAGAGGATTATTTTGAAATCTGAAAGAGTATCTATTGTACTCGCTTCCTCATAAAAAAAAACCCGAAATCCACTTGTGTTGTTGCATCTCTGCATAACAGCGCCGCGATCTAACTGTCGATCGAAGGGAGAACATCACCCGCTACAAACTAGCCTGCGAGCAAGCTCTCCTATTTGGGCGAGTGAAACGAGTCTCGCGAGAACGCGCGAGCGAGCGGCGAAGCCGCGAGGGGCAGAGGAAAGGAGAGCTTGCAACCATCCCTTACAAATTTTCATTTGTACTTCGCCCAGACGAAGGGAAATACCATTGGCTGAAAAATGACGTTCCGGAAATCAAAGTTGATTGATAACAGGCCAAGCTGGCACCCGCTTCGTCTGTGTGTCAAATTTGGTTCTCAGGGGGATCAGATTGGTACCGAGAACTTGTTTCAGCGCTCAATGCAGACGGGCTCGTTTGTTGTAATTCTCGCAAAGAGAATATTGCGTGCCGAGGATAAGTCGGACCGAGTTTGTACTTGTTGTGGAAGGAAAATGAAAACCCTTCATCAGTTGTATTCATTTGTGTCAAGCGCCTTGTTTAGTTCTGAAAACCGGGAGAGTGAAAGTGAAGAGTGATTAAAGCGCTGCCTTCCAACATCGGTTTCTTCGCCCGCTTGAATTATACTGGGTAGAAAAATTCAGAAACATGTACTTGACAGTGTAGCTGTGTAGCTTGATCGTAAAGAAGGAAAAGAGAAAGAGTTGGAAGCAACTGGAGTAAACCTTAAGAGAACCAAGTGCCGAAAAACGCTATTCTCCAGTTCCAGACGGACAAATATATGATGTTTTTGTTGGTGATTGCGATGGGGAGTAGTCTTCTACACTGCAGTATGGACGACCTTTCAAAAGTAAACGAAACGAGAATCAAAGTAGTGAGTTCTTATCCGAGCGGACACGTTGA